GGCGCAATCCTGTCTCGAAGTTGTGGTGCTGCCCTTGGGGACACTATTCCATATTGCAGTTGGTGGGAGCAGAAAGGATTCTTGGGCGGTTTTTTTTTCCTAATATGCACAATCTGTCCATCTTCCCCAGACTTGGCGCAATCCTGTCTCGAAGTTGTGGTGCTGCCCTTGGGGACACTATTCCATATTGCAGTTGGTGGGCACCGGTAGGGAATGTTTCTTAAAATGAGTGCTTCCAACTATAGCACTCCAGCATCATGTGCATGGCAGGCATCGATGAAAGGTCAGTAAAGAACAGACCCTTCAAATCCTAGGAACCGGCTCACCTGCTTCCAACCTGTTTTTTGACACTTAGCTTTCTTGCCTTTTCAAGGAGTGGCTTGGTTTTGTGCTATGGCTCTTCTGTCCCAGTCTGCCTCCCTGCTGCTAACAAAGGGCCACATTATCCAGCAGTTCTCAGGTGATTGGCGGTCTGGGTTGTTAAAAGGAGAGAGAAGTTTTGTCCTTTTCTTGGCCAGCTCCCCTAAAGAGTCAAGAGAAGGGAAAACTGTATTTTAATATGAATGAGTGTCTAATTTTTGTTATTCTTTCCTGTCTGCCTTCCTTCCACATCTTGGGTCTACACTGAGAGCTGTGACCACCCCTACAGGGGGTAGGATCTCTGGAGCCAAGTGCTGGGAGAGTTCTGAGGGCTTTCTCCTATGCCTGACTTGAGAAATGTTCAATTAAAAAAAAAAAATAAAAATATCAAAATGCCTGCTTGGGAGAAAAGCCAGGGAAGCTCAACAGATTAGGGTTATCTGCAGGGTGGGATCTCTACCTTCCTTCCACATGTACAACCCTGACAGAGGGTAATGAAACAGGGTTGCAGCAATATGTGTATTTTGTGAGACGCTTAGCCTAGAAAGCAGTGGTGCTGAGGTAAACTCTGGGAAGATAACCACAAGAACGTAGCTCTAAAGATAAAGAGACTTAAACACAGAACAAGATGACCCAGCAAGCAAGACCAGCAATTAATCACAGGAACAAGATGCCCCAGCGAGCAAGACCAGCAAGGACTGGGCCCTTGGGCTAAGTTCACTGAAAGGACACAGTGATGAAGATGAAGAAGATGAAGTAAACGACCACCAGAGGTCTTCAAGACTACATAGAGCCAAAAGTGCACTTGCACGTGAAGGTGAGACAGTATGGTAATGATTTCTTGGAAGGTCATGAATATGTAAAAGAGCACTCGTATTCCTAATGAATATGCATGTGGTTTGTTTGGGAGCACAGCCAGCCTGGTGTGGGCGCTGGGAGGGGAGATCCCCCACGCACCCCGCGCTGCAGTAAAGAATAACTCCTTAACAGTGTCTCATTGCTCTGTCAAATTCTCTGCCAGGATTTCTGTCTACCCGGGAAACCTCTGAGAGGCGATGGGGCTCAGGCCGTGGTTCCCTGTTCACCAATTGTGTGTGAACATGAACAGAATGACACAGCGACACTCAGTGACACTGCAGTGTATTCATCAAAACACAGATCACCCAGCTTTGGGAAAGCTACAGGAGGGCAGAAGAGCACCTCATCTGAGACAAACTTTGCCACTATGACATTACTCTGCTGATGAAAACGAATACAGCAGTGCACTGAGGCAGGAACCCATAGCATTTCTGACCCAGTGGTATGGGCTCCAAAGCTTGATTTACAGGCTGGCTCAGCTGCTCCTTCCCCAGCTCCAATCTGTGAAAGTTAAAGTTGTCTTTGCTTCCTTCCAACTCAAGGTTGAGCTCCAGCCCTCTGAAGGTAGTGAACTCACTGACACTAATGGGGGTTCCTTTGCAGGGCGGAACTTCTGGATGAAAACACCTTCCAGGCATGGTCCTGTCTCACCTGTGCTTAGGTCAAGGTTGCTTTCAGACATGAGCTTCTATCTCTGCTGTTGAAGGCCAGTGGAAAAGCCTGGCTAGGAAATGCTTCACCCCGGGAGTGGGTACATCCACTTGAGCCAACCTACGCTGACTCATCTGACTGACACTCCACAGGATTAGGTACATAATGAATTGAGAACTGCAGAAGGTGGGGTGGTCACAGCATGAAGGAAGAGTGGGACAAAACCTTGGGCAAAAAACCCTCAGATTGTTGCCGCTCTTTGGTCCAGTTGGGAAGAACAGAGCTTGACTAGATGTGAACTGTGTTGCTGTTCCAGCTGAAAACAGCTCCAAAAGAAACTTCAGTGGATACTTGTGTCTGTTCTGTGAGTCATTCCCAAGATGCATTTTTTAAAACTAGAGCAGCGCTGGACATTCATGGGCAGTGCACCCAGTTTGCAGGGTGATGGTGCCACGGGGCACATGTCCCAGACCTAGCACTCTGAGGAACCTCTCAGACATCCACATCATGCTTCCCACGTGCCTGTATGACTTCTGGATTTACATCCCCAAGATGCTTTTATGTGTAGGATTTACTTGAGGGGAAATAACTGGGTTTCTTTTCCTAAATAGATTATTTCTTTAGATCATATTGTTTTATATACCAAGGCAAGTCCTGTTTCTCTCACAAAGCTGTAAAAGAATCTATATATATTTGGTTACCTAATTAGAGCTTGGGTAGAGAGATTGAATTATCCTAACTGGAAGGGGATATATGGAAAAGAAAAGAGATTTGGTGGTCAAAGCATTAAAAGAAAAAAAAAAAAAAAAAAAAAGAGTGGAAGACGAGTGGAATAAGAAATCAAAAGATGGACAAAGATGGAGGGCAGGGGGTGTAGAAGGGAAATGAAATCAGTTCCATGCACAATATAAAGCTATAAAACATGTTTGTCTCTGAGAGGGAATCTGATCCATAACTGAAAACTAATCTATATATTTATATATATATATGAAAATTTGCAAACTGTGAGCAGCTGTACTGTGTTTCCAAATACACGCTCACAACTCCCCGAGGGTGGATTTGCAGGTGGAGGTGGTGTTACTCCAGCTGTAAAATGCAAATCCCTCTGCCACGGGTGCCCCTGGACAACCGTGTCTCCCCCGTGTGCCCGAGGGGTTCGGGTGCCCCTGGACAACCGTGTCTCCCCGTGTGCCCGAGGGGTTCCTGCAGCCTGTCAGGCTGGCAGGGCCTCCTGGAACCTCCAGTGCTGAGCTGCGGGTCCCCAGCCTGCTGCCCTTGCCAACAGGAAGCAGCAAGGTGGATGTTGATCTCTTCTCTCAAGTAACAAAAAAACAGAAGAAGAGGAAATGGCCTGAAGTTGTGCCAGGGGAAGTTTAGACTGGATCTTTGGAAAAAATCTCTTCTCTGAAAGGGTTATCAGGCACTGGGACAGGCTGCCCAGGGAACTGGGGGAGTCGCCATCCCCAGAGGTATTTAAAAGACATAGGTGTGGTGCTTATGGACATGGTTTTAGTGATGGACTTGGCAGTGTGCTAGGTTAACATTTGGGCTTGATCTTAAAGGTCTTTTGCAATCAAAACGATTCTACTATTCTATCAGTAAATAAAATTATTTCTGCTGCTGTAGGGGCAGAGACAGGGTGTCCCTTAAGCTGTCATTGCTGAGAAACAACTCAAAGCAAAGGGTTTTGGCTTGTAGCTCCCAACCTGCAACTCCATGGTTTTCTACCTGTTGGCAAAAGGCTCGTTTTGGTGAAGTCTGAAAGCCCCCACCATGGGCAGCACGATGGCTTCAAGTCCACGGGGGAAATTCCCTTTCCGTGTGTGGAAAGCGGGGCTGGTGGCAACAAGCCAGGGATGTGCCAGGAGCACAGAGCCCGGGAGCCCTGCCCGGCCTCTCACCCCGTTATAGTCACTTTCCCCCCGCGTTCCTAATCGTCTCTAGGTCTGGATCCTGGCCGGATTGTAACTGAGAAACGAAATAATCGTTAATTAGAAGGTGATCAAAGGTGGGACCCCTCCAGGTGAGCAGCCGCGGGGTCGGGTCACCAGCTGAGGCTCATTTCTCCTCACGATTCAAGAGAAGTGGAGGAGAAATATGGAGGCCAAGGGAAGCTCACCTTTGCACTTTCTGGAAGATTTTTAACAGTGCAACAGGTTAGTAGCTACTCCCCTGCCTTTGTCCCGTTTCCCTGCCGTGGGGGAGGTGGGGAATTTGCTTGATGCTTCACGTGCCCTGGTTTGTGTTTCCTCCAGGTGGTTTTCCAGGTTTTGTAACTCCCGGGCTGTAAGATCTTCCAAATGAAACTTTTGATTTCCTCAAAGGAAACAGTAATAGCTGTGGGAAGGAGGGAGAAGTAGTTTGTCTTCGGCAAGCAGAGTGCAGCCCCTGGCTTCAAATCCTTAAGTTCTGTAAGGTTCTGTTAAAGCTGCACAGCTCCTGACTGGGCAATTCCCACCTCTCCCTGGTGCGTAGCAAGTACACACTTCTTTTAAGCTATCGCCTCTTCCAAAAGAAAGAAAAGTGTCAAACGGCTGAGAAGAGAAGCTTGCAGAAGGCAAAGTGCCATTTCCCTGTGCCTCTGCAAAACAGGCCTGCCTGTCTCGGCCTTGGGTTTTTCTCTGAGCCCTCTTGCCCTTCACACAGACAGTGCTCTGAAGAGCTGCTTCCCTCCCTCCCCCCCGGTCTATATTCGCTCGGGGGGAGATGGGGCCTTATCAGAGGCGCTGCCTGCCATGTGCGATGCAGACACGCAGTGTCCGCACGCCCCGGGGCAGCCCTGGGTTCCCCTTCCATTCTTGGCGTCCGGGTGGGGACGGCTCAAGGGGCGGAGGTGGAGAGAAGGGGTGTTAAACGTGGGGGCAGGGGGTGTCTGCCAAACCCTGTCCGACTCGCTGGGCGATTCTGCTCGTCCTCCCCCCCACCCTGGCCCCGGGCAGCAGTTTAGAGTCCTGGTGGTTTATCTGCTAAAGGTGGTCAGATTTTATATTCTGCCTCTGTGGCTGGTACTGAAGCTCTTATGATTTAAATAAGCCTTTGGAGTGTCTCCTAATGACTCTCTCAGGAAGGACAGGAAGGGTGAAAATTAGACCGTTATTGATTTGCTAACGACTTTATCACTTCTCCTTCAGAAATGAAGCAGCAAGATCTCTAAGGCCTCTTCAAGGAGGACATGGCAACAAACAAGCTATGTGCTTTATGTGGAGCCCTCTGCTAGCAAGCTACACCTTCCTACAAGCTGGTGGTAAAGGTCTGGCTTGAGCTTTGTTTGCATATTCAGGGACTTGATGAATAGATCTAGTAGTGTAGCAGCTCTACAAACATGCCAGTGAATTGGCAGAGGTGTGAAAATCTGCTTCTTTGAGCAGTGCTTGTTTGGGTTCTCTAATTAAAATCCAATAAAGGATCAGCATTGTCATTCTGATTCATGTAATAAATGCAGACACTCTTGGAAGAGAGGACACTTCCATTTTTTTCCCAGCTTCTTCCCCCCCTTTTCTCCCTCTCCCTATTTGTTCAGGTGCAGAAACCCTATGTGCCAATTCACACACATACTCTCCAAAAAACCCAGGACCTTCCAAGCACTATTTGCACAGCAGAGCCACTTTTCCAAGGCACTCAAGATCTGTATTTGAATTTTAAATGTAGAAGCTTGCTCTAAATACTTGCTGTAGCGCATTATCAATGTCCCTTTTACCACCCCTGCCTCTCCCTCCTCTGTCCTGGTTACAATAATTCAGGCCTTGGGGGAACTCTTCTTTGCATTCCAGTCTCTGGGATCATACTTTTTGCAAACAGAGATCTAGATAAAGAATCTTCCTGCCTGGCATTATGGGGTTTAATCTTCTCATAAGATGCTCTGTCATGAAACGAGGTTTGGACAGTTTGAAATCAGGCTGAGCGGATGGAATTCCAGCCTGCTCCCTTACAGCCCGCCTGGTACAGTCACACGACCCTGCCTGACACCCTCCAACTACTGCCCCACAGTTCGTGTGTGCCGAATCTCAATGAGCAGCTTGGGGTTACTCCTCTCTTATGAAATACCCGTGGGGGTGGATTAGGGGGTGCTCTTGGCCTAAGGTCATTGCATGCCACAATCAGACACCTCGCTCTGTAAAGCCCATCTTGGCTCTTGAAAGGGATGTTTCATATCCCCACACAGCTGATGCCCTCGGCCTGGGGTGGTTGTGTCCCTGCTGCCCTCGGCCTGGGGTGGTTGTGTCCCTGATGCCCTCGGCCTGGGGTGGTTGTGTCCCTGATGCCCCTCCTGCCCCCGGGGCGATGCGGTGCTGCCCGCGGCTCCCCCCCCGTCCCTGTGGCGGGGGGGGC